CAATTAGTTCCTTCCAAGTAGTAGATGCATGACGAGCTTTACAGTTTAAAAAGAAAAACTGAAAAATTTTAAATAGTTTATATGGTTTTGGGGGAGGCTGTCACAAAATTATAGACGTTTATATGGATCTTTAACCATGTTTCAAGAGTCATAACTTGATCCCTGTTCAACTTTAGAGCATCAAACTTGGTCAAATGACCATTCTCAACATGACCTTTTAAAATGATGGTGTCAGTTTTTCCCGCCGCCACCGCCCCCTTTGCCAAGTCGCGCGCTTCTTATTTTCGCTTTGCTTATTTAGTACGTCCCCACTATACTCACAGGCCACCCTGGCAGCGCGGACAGCGCGAGAGCTCCACCAGGGCGGATAATTGTTATCCGCCATGAGCTCCACTATAAATCACGCGTGATTGACCAGCGGACAGTAACATTACCCACAAGCCTTGTTGGTACTTTTTTCATGTCACGTGATACGACCAGCTCTCTGGCGGTGTTAGCAGCGTGGACAGTTGCCGGAAAATAGACGTCGAAAATCATGCTTTCTTCACGACTTTCTTCCATATTAGCGAGAAATTTAGTGAGACGGACACCCCAGGTAAGATACAATGACTTTTTTTGATTAGTTTATGGCAAAATGTTGCCTAATACGCAACCAAACGTGGGTGCAAATAACGCGGCCGGCCTGGTTGAACCAGCGGTTTACCTTTGGTTTTTGTACCTACATTCCACGATGTCAGTACTTTGTTGTCGAAAAACATGGTAAAATGAGCTTCAGATTTAATAATTTCATCCGGGGGTGAAAATGATGAATCGTTCGAGTGTTATTTCATTCGTTTTGTTTGGTTCTATGGTGGGAAATTTGAGGAATTACAATATCACGGGGTTAAAGTCACTTCCAAGGGGTGTACCGGCTTAGTTATCTACTCACTCAGCTTCCTTTATCTTCCCAAAATCGTTTTTTTTTTCTCAAGAATAGAAGTAGTTGTACATAAATGAAAGGCATTTATTTCAATCTTTGTAGGAACTTTTTCATCTTCAAGGTTTGGCCGGTGCTGTGTACAAATATCTGTACTTATGCAACTTCTGAGAAGTTTTACCAACAGATACATGTAATGTTAGGCAGATGTACTTGCAAACGGTCTTTGCAAGTTGACATGCATGTATACATTGTATATGCAAATATTGTGCCCATCGGATCATAGACTTTTCCTGAGTCATTAATTATAAATTTGTATCCAGTTTAAGACATGTAGAAATCAGGGCTTTGTTCTAGGTGGGTCTGGCAGCTTCAGCCAACAGTTCTAGTTTTTGCACAAAAGTCATATGCTGGATACCCTGGATTTCCAAGGTTTAAAGCTGTGGGTTACCTTCAACTTTTGCTTAGACTCAGATATGGCTATTGATGTTCTTGTTGGACTTATTCCATGAACAAAGCACAGCCAGCATTTATGAAAATCAAGTGGTAAACTAACTTTGCCAAAATCACACTCCAGTAATTTAAATCTTAGCTACAGTGGCCATCAGTTATTTTAAGGGGAAATGGAACCAATATATTATTTTAACCTTTAGTTTCTGTCTCGGCAATCTTGTAAAACAGACAATGAAGTGTAATGTTAGTTGTATGACTGTATGTTTATTTATTTTCTATAGATCTATCATGGATCCCTTGGTGCTTTAACGGTTGCTGTACGAAATATAACATCATCTAGTCCTTCGCTTGCCAGTGCTGGTAAGTTAGTGATCGCTGCATGTTAAGTTGTTGATTAAACAATATCTTTGTAATTTTTGTGCCCACTGAGGTTAGATAACCGTTTTTCCTAAGCATTGGTCCCTTAATGTAATAAGCACCAATCTTTGACATTCTAGCCAGAAGGTTGTCCAGGCTTCTTGTGGACCCTCACTTTTGCAAGATTTTTTATGATACTAAGGGAAATTATGCCTCCTGGACTCTTAGTTTTTGACGTCTAAAAACCAACCAGTCTGATCTTGAATTTCTCAACAAGAAATTGGTTGGTTTTAAGTAAGCTAATTTTCTGTAACAGGCACTGCAGAGGTTTCATCAATATTAGAGCAGAGGATCTTAGGTTCTGCACCCAAAGCTGAACTAGAAGAAACAGGCCGTGTGTTGTCCATTGGTGATGGAATTGCCCGTGTATATGGCCTTAAAAACATACAGGCTGAAGAGATGGTGGAGTTTTCCAGTGGCCTCAAGGTAATATTGAAAGTACTTTGGGTTTTTTTCCGCTACGTTAGTTTATCAAAGTACATCTGGTGATTGTATGCATATGTATTTCTGCAGGGTATGGCTTTGAACTTGGAACCTGATAATGTTGGTGTTGTGGTGTTTGGAAATGATAAACTGATCAAAGAAGGTGATGTTGTAAAGAGAACAGGTGCCATTGTTGATGTTCCAGTAGGTGAGGGAATGTTAGGACGGGTTGTAGATGCCTTGGGTAATCCAATTGATGGGAAAGGAGAACTAGCTGATGTTACTCGTGCCCGTGTGGGTATCAAGGCTCCTGGTATCATACCCCGTACCTCTGTTAATGAACCTATGTTGACTGGTATCAAGGCTGTGGACAGCTTAGTTCCCATTGGACGTGGACAGCGAGAGCTTATCATTGGAGACAGACAGACTGGGTTAGTAGATGTATTTGTAAGTTGAACGTTTATACCTTTATCTTTTCAGTTTAGTGTGGGTAAGCTCATTTTTTTTCATATCATTGTCTCCTTTTCTTTTTACTTATGGGTAATTTTTTCTATGAAAAATAACTTTTTGAGTGGCACCAAATATTCTATTGGTGACCCTTTTTTTCCAGTGAAGTGATTTCAAACTTGTTTCCTTTTCCAGAAATGATTTTCAGTAGGTCTTCCCTTAATGTGTGATGTTTCTGTACTCTATCCTAACTAATGATGTTGATCTTTTTCTTCTAGTAAAACCGCCATTGCCATTGACACCATCATCAACCAGAAGAAATTTAATGAAGGGACTGATGAAAGTAAGCAAAACAAAATGTTAAGACAGAATTCTTTAGGAAATTGAGTAATTTTATTTTCCAGTGTACCAACAGCTTGTACCAGAATAATTTCAATCATATTGCATTCTTTGTTACACTTTTTGAGAGCTATAAATTAACGTAATAAGTTATATAAAATAACTCCAAAGAAAAGGTTGTTATGGGAGCCCGAGAAAAGAAACTTCAAAAGCTTCAGATTTCACCAAATGAAATCTGAAATTTATTTTCCTGGGCTCCCATAAGAACCTTTTTGTTGGACTTATTTTGTATAACTTATTACATATATAGATCTTAAAAAGCGTGAAAAAGAATGTAATATGGCTTAAAATATTCTTGTACAAGGTTTTTGTCCACTGAAAATTAAAATTACCAGTGTTCAATTTCCTGATGGATTCCGTCATAATGGTTGCATCAAAGCTTTCAAGTATGCGTGACCAATTTTTTCTATTGTTGTCTGTCCCCGTAACTCTACCTCCATGCACAGAGTTGTTTAAGCTGCATTAATCTGTTCCTTTCATTTTTGCAGTTTTCTATCATATGACAATTTAATAGCCAAACTTTTCAATTCTATAAGCAGGGTCTAAAAATTTACGGTTGTCTGGCCATTCAAAATTACCAGAACTTAACACTTGAATCACTGTCCATGTTTTTGGAGACGTTGGTAGCTTGAGATGTGGTTGTACAATGGCACTCAAGGTCTGCAATTTGGTCATCAACGACCTTGCATTTTATCACTGAGCAGTAGATTCGAAACTCTTAGAAATCCCAGGTGTAAATGCCTTGTGCATTTTTAAATGGTGGATTCAGTGAAACAAACTGTTTTGTTTTGTTGCTGCAATCTTAGTCACCAAAATGTTTTTCTACTTCTTCAATGCTATTGTGACCAAAAAGATGGCAGCTTGAAGCTCTGTTTGGACTACAGGAAAGATGGTTGAGCAATGGGCAACCTACTTTAAAACTTGAAATAAAACTTAAATTAAAATAATAATATAAATAATTTATAAATTTGCTATATAAAAAATCAAGTTAAAACTACGTAAAAGTTAACCTAAAACTTAATTCGGGTCCTGATGGTAGAGAAAAACACACCAGCACCCGATATGGCCAAGATTGTAAGGAACAGTTTTCTCTTTTTCTGTGCAGAAAAGAAGCTTTACTGTATCTATGTCGCCATTGGACAGAAGAGAAGTACAGTTGCTCAGCTGGTAAAGAGACTAACAGATGCTGGTAAGTACTTCCTTTCATAATGTATTTCAGTTTTACTCTTGGTTCAAAAATTTTTTCCCTTAGCTCTTGCTTATTTGAAGATAATGTATGATGATTGTGAGAATAACACAGAAGGGAATAAATAATGCAATAATAAATAATACATAGAAAGATTTGATTACATGAAAACAAGTAACGTAGGTTACATAGTAACATAGACCTGGCTCCAGTTTGTTCAAACCTTTCAGTGGATAAGTATTAAGGACACCAGTTGTGGTGTCCAGTAGATAGGGCTATCCACCCTTTGAACAACTAGGGCCAGCAAGTGACGTTTTCATTGACAAAGCTTTGTTATTCTGAATTGAATGTGTGTCATTGTATACATAACCTCTTTGTAGATGCAATGAAGTACACTATTGTTGTAAGTGCCACAGCATCAGATGCTGCGCCTCTCCAATATCTAGCACCTTATTCTGGCTGTGCCATGGGTGAATTCTTCAGAGACAATGGAAAACATGCACTCATTATTTATGATGACTTGTCAAAGCAGGTAATTTCACTTAACAATTTGGTGTAATTTTACAGAGTAACCTTTGCTTATGAAGTAGTAAAATGTGATAACATATTCATGGACTACAATAATATTAATAATATTTGAGAAAAACTCCACTAGATCAAACAAAACATTGCTTTTTGTTTACTGTGATACTTCAGGCTGTGGCTTACCGTCAAATGTCACTGTTGTTGCGAAGACCTCCTGGTCGAGAAGCCTACCCTGGTGATGTATTCTACCTGCACTCACGTCTGTTGGAGAGAGCAGCTAAAATGAATGATGATAACCAGGGAGGTTCACTTACTGCGTTGCCAGTCATTGAAACTCAGGTCAGAAAAAATTCAACTTTAAATTTTCAATATTCTAAGGGTGGGTTTTTTAAGACTCCTAACCTAACAGAAGCCATGTACATGTAGCTTGAGCAATAAAGAACCTGTTTTTGATTGTTTTGTAAATTATTTGCTTTGGTATTACATAACAGAAGCTTGTACATCCATGGCTTTTGGCACCAGGCCTGGGGATTTTCATGGTTATGATGAGCATGACACCCAGCTACATTCTTAGGAAACAAAATGAAAACAAAACCAAAAGAACTTTTTAGTTGTTCAATTCTTTGCCTACTAATAGCATATCCTGGGCGGCAGCTTGAAATCTAAGCCCTGCACCTTTTCCATTGCTGACATAAACTGTCATGTAAGTTGTCATTAAGCGATCTCCATGTTCAGTATTTTGTAATGTTCTTTTATTCCTAGTAACTTTGCTGAGCTGTTTACAGGGGGTTCTTTAGGCATCAGAGATGGGAGAATTCTCCTTTTACTATGCAAGATTCTCCAGCTAATGTTTAGTAGCCTATGACTATTTTTATTCAGAGGAGGAGCCTCTTTCAAAATATTCTCCAGGCTGTAATGTTACTCATTTTTCCTGCTACCAGAATTCTTCATGAAAACCCAGTGTTTGTGCTCAAAATTAAGTCGGGTTAGTTTGACATTTCTTTTTTATATGCAAAGAATGGTGCAGAAACTCTAGGACATTTCCTCAATCAGTCTTGATGCATGATGTTGCTAAGCTTTGTATTGAAATGATTGTTTGCAGGCAGGAGATGTATCAGCTTACATTCCCACAAACGTGATTTCCATCACTGATGGTCAGATCTTCTTGGAAACTGAACTGTTTTACAAGGGTATCCGACCTGCCATCAATGTGGGTTTGTCTGTCAGCAGGGTGGGTTCTGCTGCTCAGACTAAGGCCATGAAACAGGTTAGACTGGAGAAACATGTTCCTTATAATCTCCATTTCATCCCATTCACCTGTTATTACTTACATCTGTGTTGCAAGAGTGACAAATATCAATTTTCTCCTAAACAATATCAATACACAATCAAGAGAAAAGGTTGAGAGAATTAATTAAATAATCACCTAAGGGAAATGCTTTGATCTTTTTTAAAACTCTCTCAACCTATTGTGTATGGAAATGTATAGATACAACTCTGGAGAATTTGAATGTGGATATTGGGGCTTAACGGTTAATGTAGTGATGACTTTATTGCAGGGCATTATTATGGTACCACTTACTCTCTCTTGTGCCTATGTTGATCAACAGGTTGCAGGATCCATGAAACTTGAGCTTGCTCAGTATCGTGAAGTTGCTGCTTTTGCCCAGTTTGGTTCCGATCTAGATGCTGCGACCCAGTCCCTCCTGAACCGAGGGGTCCGTCTCACAGAACTTCTTAAACAGGGGCAATACGGTGCGTACTAATTACTGTGGCAATTATTACTAATTTTATAAACATAAATACAAGAGAATGTCTTCAGTAATGCAATCCACCAAAGTAAACATTTGTCATACTTATTGGATTGCTGTGGAAAAGAAATAAATATTTGGAAACTAGGTCAGTGTCAACTTTGTCTCCCACGCAGACGTTCGCGTCCCTAGCAACCATATCCTGGTCATATTTCCTGGTTTAATGTTAGGTACTATAACTTTAATTTTTGTGGCTAATTTTGTTGCATTATCTTGGTAGTTCCCATGGAGATCGCTGAACAAGTGGCCGTAATCTATGCTGGTGTAAGGGGCCATCTTGACAAGGTCGATCCTTCTCGCATCACAGCTTTCGAAGAAGCGTTCCTGAAACATATCCGATCTACGCAGCAGGAACTTCTTAACACCATTAGAAAGGAGGGAGTCATTTCAGAAGACACAGACGCCAAACTCAAGAAAATTGTGACAGAGTTCGTTGCATCGTTCGACTGATTTTTCCAAGAAAAGTGTTAATATTTTTTTCACCGCAGTTTGTGTAAAATGTGTTCTGTCAAGAAATCGTCATGCCTGTAATTTTGGCGGTCCTGAAATCGCAAGAATAAATTTTAGAAAAAGTTTAAGGGAATTAGCTGGTCGTTGCCCTTCTTGTTGTCATTAGTATAGACTGATGCTACTGAGCTCCTAGAAAGAAAGGGCGGATAAAGAGATGAAAATGTAATGTGTTTGCATCAAGGATGGGCATTAACTATGTACCATGTACGGCTGGGCGTAAAGAGCACTCCACTCGGTAAACAAGAAGTGATTATTTTTTTATTTCCTGAGTGAATCAAACTTAGGTTGTAATACAACTCCCGTGAGATTTAAAGTGGCCAAACAAACAAGGCTTAGAGAGTGACGAAGGCAGTCTAATTGTCAAAATTATAATCTTTTAAAGACGGAAAATTCTTCAGCGTTTCCATGACTAACTCCTTTTGTTTGTCTGTCCACACCACACTGTGGCGAGTTTTTGTAGGCTCTTTATATATGATGCTGGAACAATCTTCAATATACTGCTGATCACAATTAAGCTTTAAAAACTGACAAACACCAAGCAAAGTTCTTTGTGGTTCTTTAATCAGCTGCAAGCTGTGTATCCCGTGAACTGCACCTTCAAAGCGGGTCTTGAGCTTACTGTTTAGCCTCGCTAAAGTAAAATAATTCCCAATTTGNAAAAAGAGGCGATGTTTGAAAGGCCAAGCGTAAATGCAAAGTTGAGCGAGAATCAACTTTTACGTTTACGCGCGATCTTCCATACATTGCCTCTAGATTCTTGCCTCTATTTTATTTACGCGTGTACGGAAGTAAAAATTACTCCACAGTGCGAGGAATCCACCTAACTAGGATACAAGCAAATGCACGCCCGCAGTATCAAATAGGTCATGAGTTTAAATCCTGTCAAAGATTCAACCCCATTTGTAGGGTGTCTCTTCTTTACGTCGGTGAGTCCTGGGGAACCAGATTGTCAAGGTATCAGATTTTTTGTCCGACACTCGTGGCAATATGAATAAAAAATCATTATCATTTAATTACAAAGAGTAAAATTTAGCACCCCTCTTTAGCTTTTCGCTTCCGAATTTAACTGGTCCGGTGAATTAAATTCTACTAGCAGGGTATGCCGGTATGCGCCGTACCTAACAGTGTTATGACCAATAGAGTATTACTGACCTTCTCTCCTTGCTCAGCTTCTGGTCTCTTGTTCAATTTCCTGAGTAACATTGTGGCAATATTGTCGTAAGGGTTACGGATGACATGAATATATTTAATAGGGATCTTGAGCGCTTTTCCTATCTGTAACACAGCGTTCACGTTCTCCTTTTGAAAGAGCTGTCTGGTCGTCTTACCTCCTTTTTTGGCTCCCATCACCTGTTAAGAAAGAGCAAAGAAGCTGGTAGCCAATTGGATCGGTTTGTTATCTCTCCAGTCCTAGGTAGGTCTTGTCTTGACCGTAGTAGTCTGAGCACCAGTACGAGGTGTTCATAGTGCCTAGGCCCCAACGGCTGTAGGCTGCTATAGGCGGCTGTGAAAATGACTGGGAATGCTGTTTCCATCGCATCAACAAAGAACAATTGATAGTTTTGTGGATCTTTTAACTCTAATATCGTCGGAAAGCCTAAACTATAATTACCATGCTTCAATAAGGCAAAGGGCTTATCAAAATCCACAAGACTTTAGCCGTTTTAAACTTTTAAGAATTGACCAAATAGTTCTGACAACTGCAATTATTATATGTTCGATACTAACCAGAATCTTTTTACTGTACGTTCCTTGCCATTGTCTTGGTACATGATAACTGTAGCGATGTTTGACTGCAGCTGATCTGTAACCAATTTCAGATTCCTGTTTGGAGTTTTGGTACAACTGGTCAAACAGGAAATACTTGTTTCTGTTAGCAATATCCCACTCTTTCCATTTACCAATAATATCAAACTCATTAGCAATGATCACGTGAGGATGAGCATCTAATAGCGAGCTGACGAGTGTATGACCACTTCTAGGATAACCAATAAACATCAGCAAAGCCTGAACCCCGTCATAAACGTCATGTATGGTATTCTCGCGATTGTCCTTTTCAGAGAATAATGTTTCTTTAGAACCTATGAGCACAAAGTAACGTTTTTCAGTAGGATCTGGCCTCCTGTTCCTTCTTCATGTTCGTCTTGGCATTATTGACAGTGTCCTACAATGGACAGCTAGCAGTCTTAGAGCCGCACTAATGGTTCATGTGGATGTAAGGTAACTAAATAGAAGCAGCTCAAACTCAAGTACGTAAAAGCCCAGTTACACCAGAAGCAAACTATCTCTTAGCTGGTAAGCTATCCCTTAGAATATTCGGAAAGCAAATTTAATGAGGTTTTGTGAGTTGGTATCAAATTCTTTTTTTTCCCCTTGAATGGGTTTTTTAAAATAAGCAAAGGTTTAGTTATACACAGACAAGTAAAAAATAACGCGGATAACAACGAACGACATTTCGGTGTCATCTTGACGCCGTCAGTCTTGCCTATGTATTCAGCATTAAAAGCGGGACGTAGTTTGTAAATCAAATACATAGGGTTTGGATCTTTGTTCGAGCAAAATGATGAAAGTTTGTTAGTTTGGTGGAAAATTTTACAACAAACAGGTTCCTTCAAACAACGCTTTAATTTCCGCACTAGTCTGTTTACGATTGACTGTGCGATGTGGCCTGCATAAGGCAGTCGAAGCCAAATTATCTTGCTAGTATCATTGTTGAATGATCTTGGCTCAGAGCCGCTACACCTGAAACTTTTAATGAGGTTAGACGCAACAGATCTAGGAAAACCATTCCAAGACAGGAAAGTTTTGATCACTGATATTTGTTTCTGAAACAGAGAGTCCAGGTCTGAAAACGGGAGTGAAAAATGACATTTGTGGGTCAGGATTTGGAGAACGGGGCGACCACCAAGAATTCACAGGAATACCCCCCGGGGGCGGCACACAACCGCCGGAAGTTATGTTACTAACACACTCGTAACGTGAGCTTTGGATGCCTTGCTAGTAATAAATAATAACACCAGTAGGCGAGTTTGATCAGGGGCGACACCGTGACACAGTCAATACCTTCACGTCTTTTATGTGATTTTGTTTTCCTATTAAACAGCCTTGAAAGACCAAATGATCGTTTTTTACTGGTAAATAAAACAGTCATAATCCAAATCGTCGCTATGAACAGCTTAACTTCGGCTCTTCAAGAGTCTCTTGATTAAACAACAACTTTGTTTCAGTATTCCCACGTGAGTACGTAGCATTACCTACATTATTTATGTTATAAATCTTAAATCAAAATAAAGGCTATAATTAAAGAACAAGTTTTTGTCTATATTCCATACGTGAATGTATGTAAGCAGCTATAAGTCTGAAGATATGAGGATCGACAAAGAGGGTTTTTTCGTTGTTGTACAAAAATTACTAAAAAAGGGGTATCTATTACTAATGTTTCTGTAAAAGTGAGATCAAAGACTATCATAAAGATTACAATTAAATAGAAAGTGTAATTCGTGTTCAACTTCATTTAAATGGCAGAGCGGGCAAATACTGTATGTCTGCCCGTTTCAATTTGTAAGCGATGGTTGCCAAGTCTGAATTTATTCAGTGTTTTTGTGAGTTACATTGGTGACTATGTTCAAGCAATCACTTTTGTGACAGTCATTTTTGAATATTGAGTAGAATTTTAGTTTCTTATAATATTTGCGTTAGTTATTTCTTTCAGTGGTATTCAGCAATGTCATACTGTCCGATATCACAATTCTTACCTTCAGTTCTGACAGTTCGTGTGGGTTGCCATAAGTTCATTTCATTCCTGGTTAATATATACAGAGTCGTGAGGACCAGTAATAGAAAAACAGAACAACAAAACTTTCCCTTCATTTTATAATCGTCCACTCATCCAGTCAGTCTACAAGATATGACATGCCAGGTCAAATGTGAAGACACATGATACTGGCGAATAGTCACTCTACCGCTGTCACGCTAGCTTCCCTTAGGGGTAGTCACTGTCACGCGAAACTAGGGTCCCTCAGCTAAAAATACAGAGCCACCATTTGGTTAGCCCACGCAGACGTTCTTAGGAGTTCGTCACGCGTTCCTGCCCTAGAACGTCTGCGTGGGAGGCTACCATTTGGTCCCATTTATATTTAAAAATGAAATGTAAAGATTCGTTTACATATATACAGGGTTGAATGCACCAGTTGTACAGTAAGAACACTGAAATTAATTATATATATTAAAAAAATAAATAAATAATTAACGAATATGATAAAAATATAAAAATGTGAAACCAATGGAATCTGTGGGAGTTAAACTGCAGAACAACGGCGTGGTCAAAACCGATGACGAGCGAATTGAACTCCACGATTGGCGAACAACTACAATCAAAATAACCGAAAATATTTATCGTTTATATTTAAAATTTCGGGATTAGTCCTCTGACACTATTTCTTCCTCCAGACGCCTGGCTAAGTTGAGCCTTCAAACAGGGGCACCCAAAGACTGTATTCTGTAAAATATCTGTTCGGAGAAGCAAAAATTGCCTACTATTTTCTATAGCTGGAGGAAGGCTGAAAATTTCTAGTTGCCCGTTCCATTCATGTATAAGTTAGTTTGCGAGACAATCAGAGCATGCGCGAGATCGCTGTTGGCTTAGGGGAAACCAGTCATTTCGATACAAACTCAAGCAGTGAAATTGCACAAAAATTTTGTTCCCTTCAAGTATAGTTTGCGAGTGAACAAGAAAAACATTTTGGGTGAATATCTTCGTCCTTTAAACCAAGTACGTGGAACTATTTACACATCGAATGAATAAACTTGTATCGAACAACTCTGTATCGAAACGACCGGTATAACTGGCTCAGGCAAAGGGGTCCTCTTTTTCTCAAATAGAAGCTCATTAAAGTTGACTCGGCTGGAAGGTCGACTCTCCTGACTGGGACGGGTTTTCTCCATATAAATGGGACCTCAGGCTACACTGACTTTGAAAAAAAATAGGAGAGTATGCGCATGCGCAGAAGAGGATATTATAGGGATTGGAGATTATATTTGAAACGGTGCGGAGGGCTTATAATAAGATACAAAAGACAGCAGTGCAACAAAAGACAGTTTATCTGGTATTAAGCTTTATTGCAATACTGAGTGAGCTCAACAAACTTTTGCTAAATTAATAGTACGTAACGATATGGGAGAAAAGTCGTATGGGGCCATCTTATGAAACCCAGTTTACTGTCTGTTATATCTACTCTTGTGTCATCACCCTTGTGGGTATTGACCTGTCAAATGTTGGTAAAACTACTTACGGATGCTTGCGCAGACTCATTGCTGCAGAACAGGAATATTTTTATATGCTAAAACATACTTGCAAAGTCCATTCAATACCCCATACCGGGTTATGACACATCCGACAATATCTTGGTAATTATATTCAGGCTAATTGGATAACTGGAAAGTTCGTTTTTATTTTTTACACAAAAGGATTTAGTTACTAGTTACTGTCGTTAAAGACGAGAGCTTTTATTTAAAGAAACGTTGGCCCCAATAGACCTTTTTTAGAAGTAATTGGGTATGACGAATATTCATGTCCTCTAATGCATGAAATTCAAAAGTGGAATGATTTGTCTGTTTTGTTTGTAACTCCGTTACAGTCAGTGATTATGAGAGTCTCTTAACTCTTTGTGCCCTGAAGGGGATTAGCACCGAACTTTTCCTTGAGATGAGGATTCACAACCAGTCGGAGAGGTTAAGAGATTAAGTTCATGATCACTTCAGAGATGTATTCCCTTGATGTTTTTTTATTTCCACACTAAAGCTATAATCATGCCAGAGGTACGGGAAAAGATAATTTGTGTTTTGATATCAGGGGTTTTAAGAGTTAAGAGTTAAATACTCACTGACTGTTATTTACTATAAAGAATCTGTAATGACTCCATCAATTCCAAACATGAACTTGTTTACTGTTCATTATATCGACGCAAAAATTAGTAGTTTCAAGTCAGTTTAATCAATAAGACCTAGATTGGGCACCTTTTACCTGTTCATTTCCAAATTTGAGAAACTTTCAACTTGAAACTGTTGATTGTAGTTTGCCATAAACACATTTCTAAACCTCTCCAGCTATTTTCTTTAATACAGTTGATTTTGTTGTTGCCGAGAGTGTGGCATTTGTTTTGAGCCTGAGGGCGGGGGAACAGACATGGTTGAAATTGGTCGAGCCATAACTTGAAGCTTCAAGTAGCTGTACACGTATATCACTAACATATCAGTTCATGGTAGTTGAACACCATAAAATCCCTAAAATAAGCCCCAGGGTTTATTTTTGTCCAGACCTTTGTTAGAGGGGCTTATTAAAGTTACTTTTTTTGCTTTTTGAATTTGGGGGAGCTTTTATTTTGAGGAGGTTATCAACATTAGGGAATATGTTTGGAATTTTACAGTAGCTTTATATCCTTTAGTCTGTGCCACTGACAGAACTAAACTTCTTGTTAAGTTCTTCTGCGAAACAGCGCCAAAATACTTGTTCTGGGTTCCCACCTGCGTACCAGGATTTGAGTAAGCACCATCAGTGGTCTGTTAAAAAAGCCATTGTCAATTTGCCAATCACGTTGAAGAAAAAATTTGAAATGCATTTCTGGTAATTCTTTGAGTCCGTTGGGGACCCAGAACAATGATATTGGCGCTGCTTCCGGCGCAGACGTTACCATCTGCGGGTACATTATGTCAATGACGCAGGATACATAACCTTCTGCCGCCTGGACCAACCTTGACCATGTGAAAACTAATTTTAATGGAGAAGGTTGCACTTAAAATAAAATAAATGAAAAAATATTAATGTAAAGAACTATAGAACACATATATCTTATATTTACCTCTGGTGTAGTCCACACAGTAAAAAAACGTAAAATGTTCCTTGCACACCACATTATCAGTACGACATGACAAATGTTGCTCAGATGGGAATTCTATCATTTATAATACAGGCCACCAAGAGAGACTTTATGGTACACAGCATAGTAACTATGAGTACAAAAGGGTTGCATCTTATGAATAAACATTTTTAACACTTTTTAACCTGTAACCCTTAATAAAATACTAATCCTAAATTGCATTACATATCATAGTCATTAATTAATTAACATGCATTCAGAAAATAAGTTACCCGCAGGATAAAACCAGGCCATCACAAATATTGCATTTTGTACATCAACTTTTGATTTAGAAGTACTTGCATTCCTTTGGAATCTTGTCCAACAACTTGTGACGGGTTTAAAACAGTTTTCCTTAACACGTACTTGCAACTATTAAGTTTTTTCAATGTAGCCTTGCAGCTCTGTAAGAAAGATATAACAAATTAAACACCAATTCTGATTGTAACTTAAGAGATAGCTACATTAAGAGACATATTGCATTGAAAACTTAATTTTAGTTAAAACAAAAAAAAAATAAGGCAATGGTGGTGTTGGATGTTCCATGTGGTTGTGAGGTGCACTGTTTATTTGAAATGCAAGTAGTGTCCTGACCAGCCTGACCCCCAAAATGTTAAGATCATAAGAAAGGACCCACACTTGAAAAGACAAGTCAAACAAACAGAGGGAGTACAAAGAAGCGCTGCATGCTTCGTTAAAAATTGTTATACGCAAGAACCAGGAACAGTTACCAACTCCTTGAACAAGTTAACCTGGATACCGCTGAAGGTACAAAGAACAATTACCGGTAACCTTATTCCACAAAGCAATTCATGGTGATAGCAGCCCGGCTTTCCAGACTATGTTATGAAGCGCAGAAGACATTTATGGAACTCTAGCCAGAACAAGTTTATTGAACTGCTACCAAATACTGAGGCTTATAAGAAAAGTTATTTTTGTAGAACTGTCAAGGACTGGAATGTGTTACTAAGCAGAATTGTTAACATTAAGTCAGCTCATTGATTCAAAAAGTATTATTTCTGTATTTTAGCCAATGATGAATTTTAATATTGTACAATAATCAATGCTATGAATATTATTAATCATTTTATCTTTTGTATGAGATTTTGTTATTACTATCATTATTATTAACTTAATTTTATTTACTTAGCTAGACGTCTTGCATTATGGTACCCCTACTGAAAGACCAGAAATTTTTTAATAAAGGTTGAATAAAAGGAATTCAGTGACAAAAGTACTACATTGTGTACTTGTATATGTAATGGCGTGATTTGTAGTGATATTTGGCAGAAATACCACCAGTGGTATTTCGAAATTGTTATATGTAATTTCACGAGCCATTAGGCGTGTGAAATTTGAGACAATTTTGAAATATCACGAGTGGTATTTATGCCAAATATCACATACAAATCATGCTATTATTTGTTTATATTACTACCTGCTAAAGGTTTGTAATTTCACATGTACCGGTAGGTATTTCAAATTAAGCTGAAATACCACTGGTCTAAGCCAATCAGATTACAGCAATTTCTCATGTGGTAGTATAATAAGCTAAATACCATGCTTGTCATTTTTACAGTGTTAAGCTAGAATTCTTCAATATTTTCCAAACACTTGTTAACTTCTACCTTCAAAAACTTGAAAATTTACTACAAAATGTTTGGATTACTGGACACTTATCAGATGTCTTCTATTTTGCTAAGTTAATTTCGTAGTTTTTGAATGGCTGTATCTCATTTAGTAATTGGCCCAATTAACACCAAGCGTGAGGATCTGGTAAAGCCCACTGTGATCTGTTGAACTATGTTGCTCTGTGTTGATAATTCTATTACAAATGGGCTTGTAACAAGTCCCCTCCTCAAGCATATAATTGGGCAATGGTACCCATTGTTCACTTAAAAGGATAGATTTTTATCATGAAATAAAATGTAGCACAAACAAAGCTTACCCAAGCCTGTCTAAACGGAATTGATCTTCTGTGGCAGCATCAGTGAGCTCTGATTCCTGACCAGACAACATCTGAAAGCCTTCCACATCTAATGGATCAAGCACAACATCCGAAGAGTACAGTTCCCCAGGATCATCTCCAACAGTGTTGGCCATTGCTGAACTAAGATCTTTTGCTAAGTCAGATTTATGCCCATCATCATCAGGAGTTACAATTAAGTCTGGTACCCTTGAATGACCTCCATAAAAATTTGCTAAGCTTGACATTCCCTGAGGGATTGTTGTTGGTGTTTGCGACAGCAAACTTTGAAAGGGCAGCTGCATTGATGTATTCAACATTGGACGATGCATTGAAAATTGTTCAAGTTGTTGTTGTAATGATAATGTGTTCGGCTGCTGCGACAACTGTTGTTGTGACTGCTGTTGTTTAAAATAGAGCTCCGGACTAAAAGATGACATTGGGCTGGTTGGCAAGTTTCCAAAAAGAGGTGTGATGGGTGCCGATGACGTGGGAGATAACGTTGGTGAGGAACTTGTTGTGATGGGAACATTTCCATGTGAAATGAAATCATTATTAATAGCATTCCCTGGTGGATACAACTGAAATTGTTGTAATCTGTCTTCCAAGTTTGGTGAGATGTTTCCAGGCATTAATGACATGTCATGCATGTATTGAGGCTTTCTCAATGGCTGATGATTACCCTGTTGTCGCCGAGTAGGGCTCTGCCTCTGAGACATTTGAAATTGCTGAGGTGACAATACTTGATTAACTTGTTCATCAGGGTCAATAGGTGTTGGAAGTGGCGATGGGATGTGCAGATTTGTCAAATCTGGCAGTGATCCTCCTGTGTTGGTGGTACCAATCTGTAAGTTTGGACCACTTGGTGACATATGTTCTGCTGATGGGTACATCCTGTAAGTCACCAAAAGAAAATTACTGTTACCCAGCAAAGAAAAGAACAAAATGTTTAACACTTATATCATAATATTTTTAGTAGATATAATTTAATCTTTTTATCGTAAATATCCTTTAACTGTAAGTTTTCCTGTAAAATAGCTTTTAGCTAAATATCAATTTACATTAATAAAATGATATGTTGGTGGTGGTGTACAGGTAAAGTATGTCAGGATTACCAGGAAAATATATGATTAGATATTGATACAAGAAAAAATCACTCTCTACAGCCAATTCCCATGATGACACTTATTTTTAAAAAGCCTGTTTTTTATTGTAAAAGTATTGCATTTGAAAAAGAACTTCCACAGTGTATAAAGCTGAGTTGGTAGTTGGTTCTTGTCTGTGGATGTTACAGCTTCCATTCCTAGGTCTGGACAAATGCTCAGTTCTTAAAATTTTACGAGGTAGAAGACTGTACTGTCTAAATCATTGACATGCTGAGGCTTATTTGACACAACATTATATTAACAGGAACTTGGTTAAGTAAAGTAACAGGTTAATCTTACATTCCAGGAACTTCACATGACTTGGGTCTTGATGGACTGCGGACCTGTGAACACATAACAGAAAATGTTTTGACCCAGAGGTCAAGCAATAATACAGCTATCTGTTAACATTGCAAAAAACCAAACACAATCAGCTTTGATGGACAGACAAAACAATGATAATAATAAAAATAAACAACTATATTGCCTGGCCACTGTTTCTCCTTCTCTGGCCATCAGGAAAAACTGGAATTATGATATCAGCATAGATTTTTTGAAGTAGTTTGAATT